TTGCAGCATTTGAAAATACTTAGCAATTCTCATGAGTATTTATACTCAGGTAGATGCCAGGAAATTTACTGTGACTTAATTTAGAGTAGCCAAATATGAGAAAGAACTGAAATGCCTGTTGAGAATGGAATGAGGAACTCTTAGGTGGACAACTATGCAGGCATCTGTAAAATGCAGCAAATGAGCTCCATGTGTATGAATGGAAAGATGCTAGAAGTATAGGGGGGAGACTCAAGTTGCAGAATGATGCATATAGTACCATGATTTTCTGTAAACTTAAAATTTCCTTCATGAAACTCAGTTTATATCGATATGAATACACATGTTTATATTGATATGAATACACATGTGTTTTTGAGATGCATCAGAAGGATACAGACCAACTCTCCAGAGTGTTGGCCTCTGAAGAGTGGAGAAGGGAAGGGAGTGGTGTGGGTGGTGGGTGGGGAGGGGTCTTCAGCTTTTTATGTAAGCATTTGTCTTAAAGACTGCAAGTAAATATATGAAGATACTGGCTAAAAAAGAGAGGCTGGCTGGGTGTGGTGGCACACACCTTTACTCAGGAGGCAAAGGTGGGCGGAACTCACATAGTGAGTTTGTTCGGAGTCGTAAAATTCCTTAAATTGACCTCTCCAACGCTGAGTCTCAGTAAAAAGGAGCGCTTTATTGGAGCCAGCCCTGGTTGGGGACACAGTCACCCTGAGCAGTGAAAACACAGGGCTTTTAAGCAGAAAAACCACAAAAACCACAAAGCAGGGGATGTCCGTAGAAACTATACACAGAATAACCAGGAAATGATTGGAACAATCTAGGGCTGATTTCCAGACTTTACCTAAATAGCCATTGGCTGTTTTAGCTGGGGCAGAAAGTTCTTTCTCTTCTGCCCCAGATTATTCCCATAGAAACCATACACAGATGAATCAGGTATACTGCCATTGGCTAGCTTACCTGGGGCAGAACATTCTCTCTCTCTTCTGCCCCAGACCATTTCCATAGAAATCATAAACAGATACCAGGAAAGGGTTTGAAAAATGGAGGGTATTTCCAGAGTCAGGTGGAGGGCAGCTTTTTCTCAGAGGACAGGGAGGAGGTCTGAGGGGCACTCTCCTTCAAGTTCCAGGCCAGCTGGAGTTACAGGATGACCCTGCCTCAAAAAGATGAGGGGGGAGGGAGGGCTCCAGGGTATCTGATACCTCTTCTGGCTTCCATGAGCATTGCACACACATGTTGCACTTACATACATGGAAGCAAATAAAAATTAAAAAGTGCTGGAGCTGGAGAGGTGGCTAAGAGGTTAAGATCATTTACTGCTATACCAGAGGACCTGAGTCTGGTTCCAAGGCCTCATATGGCAGGTAACACCCATCCTTACCTCCAGTTCCAGGGGATCTGACAGCCCTGAGTTTCAAGTACTTAGCTGGCCCTTGTATGCATTTAAGTTTCCATCCAATATATTTGGCCACTGTGTAATCACAGGTATTTTCAAGTCAGAAAGTCTCATTTGAAGTCCACCATTTAAGAACCTGAATGCCTGAGAGGGCAGAGTTCTGACCTCCACCTGTGTACTGTGGTCTCAGCAATCACTACACAAACTCATGGCGATTAAACAACACTCCTAAACAATGAGTGGGTCAAAGGAGAAATTAAGAAAGAAAGAAAAGAATTCCTGGAATTCAACGAAAACACAACACAACTTCTGGGACACTTCAAAATTACTCCTGGGGCTGGAGAGATGGCTCAGCGGATAAGAGCACTGACTGGTCTTCCAGAGGACCTGGGTTCGATTCCCAGCACCCACATGGAGGCTATGAACTGTCCTTAACTCCAGTTCCAGGGGAATCTGAAGTCCTCTTCTGACCTCCACAGCACAATGCAGCATTGCATGACACAGGTGCACTCACATACATGCAGGCAATACACTCATACACATAAAATATTTTTTTAAAAAAGTCCAGGTGTGGTGGTGCACACCTTTAATCCTAGTACTCAGGAGGCAGAGGCAGGCAGATCTCTGTGAGTTCAAGGCCAGCCTGGTCTACATAGTGAGTTCCAGGACAGCTGGGGCTACAGGGAGACCCTGTCTCAAAAAGACCAAAAAAAAAAAAAAAAAAGTACTCCTACGAGGGAAGTTTATAGCTCTGAGTGCCTACATTAAAAAATTAGAAAGAGCCCAAATAAATCACCTAACACTGCAACTCAAGATGCTGGAAAGGTAAGAACAAAGGAAACCCAAACCCATCAGAAGAGAAGAAATAACAAAAACCAGAGCAGAAATTAATGAAATAGAAACAAAGAAAACAATACAAAGAATCAATGAATCTAAGAACTGGTTCTTTGGAAAGCTAAACAAGATAGACAAACCCCAGCCCAGTTAACCAAAAGAAAGAAAGAGCAAATCCAAATAAACAAAATCAGAGATGAAAGAGAAAACATCACAACAGACACCCCAAAGATCCAGACCATTATAAGGGAATATTTTAAAAACCTATAGTCTACTGAATTTGAAAAGCTAAAAGAAATGGATGGATATCTAAAATCATGGGAACCACCAAAGTTAAACCAAGAAGAGATCAACAGTTTAAGCAGACACATAACATATAAGGAAATCGAAACAATAATACAAAGCCTCTCAACTATAAAAAGCCTAGGCCCATATCCTTCTTAATGAACATAGATGCAAAATTTCACAGCAAAATACTTGCAATCCGCATACAGACACACATCAAAAATATCATTCACCATGATCAAGTTCACTTTATTCCAGAGATGCAGGGATGGTTCAATATACACAAGTCAATAAATGTCATTAATCATTTAAATGGACTCAAAGACAAAAACCACATCGTCATCTCAATAGATGCAGAAAAGGCTTTTGACAAAATTCTGCATGCATTTACGTTCAAACTCCTAGCGTTAATTGGACTGGAGGGAACATACCTCAACATAATTAAAGCTATATATGACAAACTCACTGCCAACATTCTATATTTGATCTTAGCCAAAAGGCCAAGAAGCGATCAACATCATTCTACATGGAGAAAAACTGGAAGCATTCCCATTAAAATCAGGAACTAGACAAGGATGTCCACTATCTCCACTCCTTTTCAACATGGTGCTTGAAACACTCTAGCAAAGAGTAATAAGACAGAAGGAAATTAAAGGAGTACTAATTGGAAAAGAAGAGGTATAACTATCCCTTTTTGCAGATGATATGATACTATACCTAAGAAATCCCAAAAGTTCCACTGGAAAACTCCTAGAACTGATCAACACTTTCAGTATAGTGGCAGGTTATAGAATCAATCTACAAAAATCAGTAGCCTTTCTATATACCAATAATAAGCAATTGGAGAACAAATACAGGGAAATGTTCCCATTCACAATTGCCACTCTTTGTGTGCCACTGAACAGGTGTGGAGATTGTTAGAGTCCAGGTCTGTAAATGACCCTTCCCCAGAGCAGCAAAGCCTCATGATACAGGGCCTGAGGCCCCCTGTGAAACAGGAACTGGCCAGGCAGCTGAATTTAGAGCTGTCTCAGCACAATGCTGTTTCCCAGATAATCTTAGAAGATAAACAGGCCCCTGTACCCCAGACCCACTAATATAAGAGCTGTCTCAATACAAGCTGCTTCCCCCTTATAAGTTTCACATCCTGTAGACCCCCTTAAGGCCCCTACACCCCAGACCCACTGATATAAGAGCTGTCTCAGTACAAGCTGCTTCCCCCTGATAAGTTTCACAATGAGTAGACCCCCTTAATCTCATGACCCAAGACCTGGTTGATGTAACAGACTGTCTCAGCAGAAACTGCTTCTTCCTGACAAGATCCTGACCCCTCTGCTCGGAATTTTTCCCACCTTCCGCACTCCCTAGCCCCCTATAAAAGCCCCCAGCCAACAGTCTGTAAACTGACAGCTTCTTCATTCCAAATTGGGGACTATCCCGTGCGTTTTCTCTGCCAATAAATTCTACCCCACCCCCCCCACCCCCCCGCGCGCGCTGGAGTTCTTGTCTGTGTCCTGGTGCTTTCTCCGATTCACTTAATTTACTTATCAGAGATTAGAGGACAACTTTTGGGACTCAGTTCTTTCCTTCTACCATGTGAGAAACAGGAATTGAACTTAAGTGTCCAGGCTTGATGAAAGTGTCCTTACCTGCTGAGTCATCTTGCCATACCCCAGCTTCAATTTCTTCAACATTTTTGTTTAAATTTCAGTTTCTTCCCTGGCAAAGACAGAATAATTAAAATATTTTATTTATTTTTAAATAAAAGGCACATGGGTATCTGTGGAGGCCAGACGAGGGCATTGGATTCCCCTGCAGCCACAATGACAGGCGGGTGCGTGCCACTCAATGTGGGTGCTGGGAACCAAACTTGGGTCCTCTGCAAGAGCCGTAAGTGGTTTTAACTGCTGAGCAGTCTCTCCAGCCCTTGAGGGACTAAACTTTATGGTTTGGTTTGTGAGCATCCAATACGAGTTTGTAACGGGTTATTTGAAACTGCGGGGTTATTACAGATAGCAGCTCACTCTTGTATCTAGGGGGGTCACTTTACACAGTAAACTATGCCTTGCCCCAAGCAATCAAATCATGACAGGAACACGGAACACCTACAGAAGGGGCGTGGCAACTTCAGCCTGGCGCGTATGCGTGGTTCAAAAAAAGTCCGCCTTCGGCGCCTGATCCAAAATTTTAATTTTAGCTGCCAAGGTTTTCTGCCTCTGCCATTTTCACTTTCTTTGTGACAGACTCCTCTACATTTCTTACTAGCTTCTGGGAGGCTTAAAGTCTTCAAACTGGTTTTATTTCATCAGAGCAAGGATTGCTCCTGGGCTGCCTTTGCTGCAGTCTTGCCGTTGGCCTCCAGTGAACTTCTTTTTGTTCAGGCACTTCCGTAGTCACCTATATCCTCGGGGGCGGTGCCACATATGGCCCCGAAGGACCTCAGAGTCGTCGCCATTTTGGAACCTTCCCTCTGGATCATCTGCCGGCTGTCGGTGTGGTTGCTGCTCCTGGGCCGCGATCTCCCTAGGCAGGATGAATGTGATAGACCACGTGCGAGACATGGCGGCCGCGGGGCTGCACTCCAACGTGAGGCTGCTTAGCAGCTTGCTGTTGACAATGAGTAATAACAACCCGTGAGTTGGGCCGGGGCGCGGGCGGCGGGGCCCTCCCCTCGCGGATGCAGAGTGGAGATCTGGGAGGCAGCGGCTTGGGGGCCATCCTGCCTCCTCCAGCCACGCCGTCTCCTTGCTGTCACTCAGACCCCAGGCTTTCGTGCTTTGGCCCCATCGTACAGGCGGCGGTCCCGCCCATGTCGAGCGAGGGTCGTTCTCCCCCTGCAAACACTCGGAACCGTGGACACCCCTGGCAGGGTGGAGCAGCGCTCAGTTATTGAGTTTTGTATTGTGTTATTTTGAAACAGGGCCCCATGTAGCCCGGACTGGTGTCGAACTCACTTTGTAGCCTAGGATGATCTTGTACTGATCTTCCTGCCTAAACCTCTCAGATGCTGGAATTAACATGCTTGGTGTGGGTGGTGCTGGATATGGAATCCAGAACCCAGCCAAGGCTTCATGCATGCTAAGCAAGCCCTGCCCACTGAGCTCCGTTTACAGGCCAGTTTATAGAGTCTTAGGTGAAGCACAGGATCAATTCTAAGCCTCCTCCTGCTCAAAGCCCTCTATTGCGCCCAGGATCTTTGCAGATCTAGCCCTCCTTTTTTTCTGCGATTTTATTTCCTGCCAGTGTTCACTGTGCGCCAATCTCTCTGGTTGTGTTTCCAGTTAACTTGAATGCAGAAGCCAGTTCTCCAGGCCTGTGACCTCCTGCTCCTGCTGCTTGGCGTCCTCATCTCACCTGCCTCCTACTTCAGGAGCCTCCTTAAATAGACCACCTCTGACCATCAGAATTGTCTGTCACTACTATTTTGATTTTCTGCATTACTCTTGTCACCAGTTGAAGAAGTCCAGTTCCTGTATGTGGGAAGCACTCTTGAGCTTATTAAATGTGCTGAGGAAAGGTATATACCCCCAGGGAGATGAAATACCTTGACCAAGTTCACACATGTACTGCATAGAGGAGCCAGGATATTTGGATCCTGGTCATCTCTGCCTGGGGATAGTTTCCATTCTAACTCCCAAATCTAGTGTCTCCAAATGATATTACAGTGGAATCTTGTCCTCAGGTGTGCACCCATTTGCACTTGGCCTGATCTGGAGCTGATCCAGGTCAGACAGCAGAGGTCTGTGAGGGGCCTGCAGTTCATTCACTATTCCTATTTGACTTCCATTTGTGTGCTTTGGACCTCATTACTGAAGTGCATCATTTTAATGTTTACCATTTTAATGTTTATTCTGGAACCTTTCAGCTAGATTTGAGTGATCATTTCAAACAACAGTTTCCTCTATTGGGGATTAATGTCCTAGTCATTACTCTTGGGTCTTGTAGATGTTTCAGGACAGTTTGAAGCAGTTTGCTTCTCTGGCTAGACTAAATTTAAGTAGTCTATATTTTTTTATACTAAGTTAGGTTGGCAGGAGGGATTTAAGTACTGACCTTTATCTTTTATATTTTGAAATCTGTTATTAAAAAAAAATTTCAAACAAGGCTGAGGATGTAGCTCAGTGGCAGAGTGCTTGTCCAATTTGTATGAGTCCTTGGGCTTCTATCTCCAGAACCCAAAAACCAAAAATCATTCAAGCAAGTTGAATGTGGTAGTAACAGGTTTATAATTCCAGCATTTGGAGGTAGAAAGATCAGAGTTCAAGGCCAGTCTCAGCTACACTGAGACTCTGTGTCAAAAAGTGAAACAAAACAGAGAAAGGGGTATGTAAATTGACAGCTCCCTGAATTTTGAGCTTCCACTCTACCATTTTTCTTCTCTAGAAGTAACAAGTTTTTCATGTATCATTCTAGAGATACATATACATATCAGTGAAAGGCAAATGTATTACAATATATAAGTATCTCACTGCTTTATAGGTGAAGCAATATCTTCTTCAAGTATCAAGTGCTTATTTGCCAGAATCTCAAAGCTGGAAAGTTTTTGTTGTTGTTTCTTATGGTGCTAGAATCCAACCCTGTGTCTTGTGTATGCTAGGTAGACACTATCTGAGCTACATTCCCAGCCTCAGGAAATTCCAAGTCCTTTGAACTGTGCCTTTCAGAGTGATGCTAAAGATGAAGTCTAGGGCCTCACATATTCTAAGCAAGTGTTCTACTGAGCTACATCCCAGCCTTTTTTAAGAAAAAAATTTTAAAGCTATAATTCTCATGGGACTGGAGAGATGGCTCAGTGGTTAAGAACACTCGTTGTTCTTGCAGAAGACCTGGGTTCAAATCCCAGCACCCACATGGCAGCTAACACCTGTCCATAACTCCAGTCCCAGGGGATCTGACAGCCTCTTCTGACCTCCGCAGGCATTGCAGAGGTGCCCTTACCTACATGCAGGCAATACATGCATACATACAAAAAATAAAAATAAAATTTTTTTTAAAAGTTTTAAGGTATAATTCACAAAGCACAGGAGACACCTTTTTAAGGAGGACAGTTATGTTTTAGTGTGTTCATAAAGCTGTGCAAACATCACTAATTCTAGTACATTTTCATTCCAAAAGAAATTCCATGTTCAGGGACTGGAGAGAGTGTGTAATGCCCTGGCACTCCCAGAACTTGGGAGGGATCTCTGAGTTCAAACCAGCCTGGTCTACATGGTTCCAGGCCATCTGGGGCTGCAGGATGACCCTGTCTCAAAAAGACACCACCCCTTCCCCTGACAATATATATATATATATTTTTTTCTCTTCCTGAGGTCTCAAGTTTGGTTCCCAGCACCCACTTTGGGTGGCTTACAACCACCTGTAACTCTAGCTTGGGGAGATTTGATGGCCTTGGCTTCAGGGACACCACTCACATACATACATACTGTGCAAGCACATACACAAGAATAAAATCTTTAAAAAATAGGGGCTGGAGAGATGGCTCAGCAGTTAAGAGCACTGGCTGCTCTTACAGAGGACCTGAGTTCAATTCCAAGCCCCCACATGGCAGCTAACAACTGTCTATAACTCCAGTTCCAGGGGAATCCTATGTCTTCTTCTAACCTCCTTGGGCATTGCATGGCATGGGTGCTCTTATGTATATGCAAGCAATACACTCATACACAAAGATAATAACAAACATTTTTTAAAATCTTTAAAAATAAAAAAGAAGAAACTGGGTGCAATGGCACAAATGTTTCTTCCCAGTATTCCAGGAGGCACAGGCAAGTAGATCTCTCTAAGTTCAAGGTCAGCAAGGGCTCCCTAGGGAGACTCTGTCTCAATAAAGAAAGAAATTCCATATCTGTTAGTAATTGCTTCCTAATTTCTCTTCCTCTGGCAAGCACTAATTTGTGGTGCCTTATACATTGATTTTTCTTTGCGGGGGAATGTCTTTGAGACAGGGCTCTCTGTAGCCCCAGCTGGCCTGGAACTCACAGAGATCCACCTGCCTCTGTCTTGGATTAAAGGTGTGGGACACCATGCCCAGCTGCTTGTTTATTTTTGAGACAAGGTTTCTTGTAGCCCAGGGTAACCTTGAACTGCTGTATACAGTAGACCAGGCTGGCCTTGAACTCACAGAAATCCACCTGCCTCTGTCTCCTGAGTGCTGGGACTAAAGGCGTATGCCACCATGCCTGGCTAAAGTTTGTTTTAATATGTGAAATTAAACAGAAGCTTTTAGTCTAGTTGTTCTTTTTCACTGTCTTTTCAGCTATCTCTTCTCATACTGACATTTTTCTTCAGTATTTGAAGTTTTCAGGTCCTTCTGATCTTGTTTTTGTTCTGTCTTTTCCTAAAAAGAATTCAAAGCTGTGAAGTTTCTTGTTTCTAGTCTCAGCCCTTTGTGATTGCTCTCCTTTGTCAGTATCATCGTTCAAATCTTCCATAACCTAGGAGAGCGTAGGTGGATATGTAACAGTGTTAACTTAAGAGGTCTTATTGAACCAGGCGTGGTGGCTTAGGTCTATAATTCCTTCTCTTGGGAGACAGAGGCAGGAGGATTTCTGTAATTCAAGGCTGCATTGGCTCCAGAGTGAGACCTTGTCTCAAAAAGCCTCCCAAAAGGGGCTAGAGAGATGGTTCAGCAGTTAAGAGCACTGGCTGTTCTTCCAGAGGACTCAGGTTCAGTTCCCAGCACCCACATGGTTGCTTTATTAGCCAGTCTGAATCTCCAGTTCCAGGGGATTCAATGCCCTCTCCTGGCCTCTTTGGGCTCTGTCCCCACATGGCACACATGCGTATGTGAAGGCAGAGCACTAATAATCAAAATGAAAGTAATAGGAGCCAGGTATGGGGGCGGGGTGCAAGCCTTTAATCCCAGCACTCGGGAGGCAGAGGCAAGCATCTCTCTGTGAGACTGAGACCAGCCTAGTCAAAGTATAGAGTTGCAGATCAGCTGGAACAGAAAGACCTTATCGCAAAAACCAAACAAAAGAGCAAGAACATGAAAACAGATTTAGGTAAGGCAGTGTCCTAGATGTGTTGACCTTATGTATTTGTATAGAGTTGAGATGTTCTGCCTCTCATTTTAGACACTAGCACTTGAGGTACATCAACGTTTTTGTAAGCTAATGTGATAGCAAAGCTTTGTGTTAGGCTTAGATGAACATTGGGGGGCTCATTCTGACACTTAAAAATAACCTTTGTAGGGCTAGAGAGATGGTTCAGCAGTTAAGAGCACTAACTGGCTGTTCTTCCAGAAGACCCGGGTTCACATCCTAGCACCTACATGGCAGTTAACTGTTTGTAACTCTAGTCCCTGGGGATCCAACAGCCTCTTCTGACCTCCGTGGGCATGGTATGGCACGACAGGGGTGGACTTAACTACATGCAGGCAATACATGCATACACATAAAATAAAAATTGAAAAAAAAATAACCTTTGTAGGATTTGTTCTTTGTGTTCTAGTGAGCTGTTTTCCCCATCTCAGAAGTACCAGCTTTTGGTGTATCATGCAGACTCTCTCTTTCATGATAAGGAATACCGTAATGCTGTGAGTAAGTATACCATGGCTTTACAGCAGAAGAAAGCCCTAAGTAAAACTTCAAAAGTGCGACCTTCAACTGGAAATTCTGCATCTACTCCACAAAGTCAGGTAATTGAAGATAGAACTGTGTTTTTCTTATTGTTGATTTTTGTTGTTTTGAGAAAAAGAAAAGAGCTAAGTTTTTGTTTCCAGTAATAGTTGATCTATTATAGAATGAGTCAGTTCTTCATTCCTTGTTATTACCAAGTAATATTCCATGGAATAAATATGCTACATTTTGCCCACCTATATATTGGCTGATGGCCATTTGATTGCTTCTGCCTCTTGCCATGAATAATGCTGCTGTGAACATTTGTGTCTAGGTTTTTTTTGTCAGCCTGTTTTCAGTTTTTTATCTTTTTTTGGGGGGGTTAGGGGTTTTGTTTTGGAGATAGGCTCTCTTGGCTGTATATTTCTTTTTTAATTTTATTTTAATTTTTTGGTCTTTTTTCCGACAGGGTCTCCCTGTAGCCCCAGCTGTCCTGGAACTCACTGTGTAGACCAGGCTGGCTTCCATCTCACAGAAATCCACCTATCTCTGCCTCCAAAATGCTGGTTTTGCATTCATACATATAAAAATTAAAGACTAAATGTGAATTTGTGGGATTTTTTTTTTTGAGACAGGGTCTCCTTGTAGCCCCAGCTGTCCTAGAACTCACTATGTAGTCTAGGCTGGCCTCAAACTCACAAAGATCCACCTGTCTGCCTCCCAAGTGCTGAGATTACAAATAGGCGTGTGCTACCACGCCTGGCCTCCAGCTCTAAAGCCTAATAACCACATCAATGACCAGCAGAGCATACGACATTGGTGCAGTAGTGACAGTTTTATCTTGGGGGCAATCAACGGCTTTATTTATTTTTTGTATTTTTTTCATATTTATTATTTTTATTTTATGTGTATGTGTGTATTGCCTGCGTGTAGGTAAGTACACCTGTGTTGTGCAATGCCCGAGGAGGACAGAAGAGGCTGTCGGATCCTCTAGAACTGGAGTTACAGACAGTTGTTAGCTGCCATGTGGGTGCTGGGATTTAAACCCGGGTCTTCTGCAAGAATGAGTGTTCTTAACCGCTGAGCCATCTCTCCGGCCCCCTATTTTTTAGACAGAGTCTCCCTGTAGCCCCAGCTGGCCTGGAACTTGCTCTGTACACCAGGCTGGTCTCGAACTCACAAAGATTCACCTGCCTCTGCCTCCCAAGTGCTGGGATTAAAGGCTATATTTCTTGATTTTGTGTGTGTGTGTGTGTATTTTTTTTAAATTTATTTGCTTTATGTGTAAGTATATTACCTGCGTGTATGTAAGTGCTCCCATGTCATGCAGTGCCCATGGAGGTCAGAAGAGGGCATCCGATCCCCTGGAACTGGAGTTATAGACAGTTAGTAGCTGGCATGTGGGTGCTAGAAACTGAACCCAGGTGCTCCAGAAGAACAGCTAGTGCTGTTAACTGCTGAGACATTTCTCTAGCTCCTGATTGTATATTTTTTGAGATAGGGTCTCTTGATTGTATATCTAGGAGCAGAATTGTTGGGTCATGGGATTACTTATGCTTAGCATTTTGAAGAACTGCTACATTGAAGAGTTCATGTTTTGAAGAAGTGTTTTCATTGTGTCCCAGTGTCTTCCGTCTGAAATTGAAGTGAAATATAAAATGGCTGAGTGTTATACAATGCTGAAACAAGACAAAGAAGCCATTGCTATCCTTGATGGGATCCCTTCAAGACAAAGAACTCCCAAAGCAAGTTGAATTTCTCTTTTCTTCAGCCCTCTCAACCCTATTTCCTTCCATGTTTTCTATGCTTCGGGAAGTCTTATCTGAACATTTCTCCGTGGCTCTGATTCTTCTCTCCTGGTGAAGTTGGGGTTCAGACAGATAGATGATTGACTTCCTTCAGAAACCTTGAGAATTCAGCCAGGTATGGTGACACACACATATACTTGGGAGGTGGAGGCAGGAATATCAGGAGTTCAAGGTGAGCTTCTGCAACCTGTCTCAAACAACAGCAACAACAAAATATTCTTTGGTTTTTGTTTTGTGGTACTGGGGGTTCAACCCAGGGTCTCCGACATGCTAGGCAAGCCCAAGCCAGGCCTTTTTAAAAAATTTTTTAATTTGGAGGTGTAGTCTCATTTAATTACTTATGCTGGCTTTGAACTCTGTAGCCCAGGCAGACCTTGAACTTTGAAACCTCCTGCCCCAGCTTGTCCAAGTAATGGAGATTATAGGCCTGCACCACTAACAACTAGGCCCACCTGCATGCACATTAGTACACACATACATACACTCTTTTTTTAAAGGTAAGGAATATAGGGTCCGGAGAGATGGCTCAGCAGTGAAGAACACTGTTCTTGCAGAAGACCCAGGTTCAAATTCTAGCACCCACGTGGCAGCTAGGAACTATCCATAACTCTAGTTCCAAGGGATCTGATGGCCTCTTCTGTTCTCCGAGGGTATTGCATGACATGGGTGCACTTAAATATATGCAGGCAATACACATATGCACATAAAATAAAAATAATAAATATGGTTCATCGGTTAAGAGCACTAACTGCTCTTACAGAGGACCTGGGTTCGATTCCCAGCACCCACATGGCGGCTATGAACTGTTCCAGGGAAATCCAAAGCCCTCTTCTGACCTCCATGGCACTGCACAACATGGGTGCACTCACATACGTGCAGGCAAAACACCCAAACACATTTAAAAAAAAAAAAAAGATAAGGAGTATAAACTGTAGGTGTATTTTAGTTAGTACTTCATTCAAATATTATTGAATTATAAAAGTGACCAAACTTGATGAGAACCTGTCTCTTCATATTGATCATATTGAGGAAGTACTTATTGAGTTGCTTGGGTTTTGGTGGGTGAGAAAGGGGGGCTAGTGTTGATTGACCCAGGGGGCCTCAAACTCCCTAATTTCCTAATATACCAATGGTTCTTCTACCCCAGCTCTGTTTTCTGAGCTTTAAAACTAGTTTTTCCAGTGCTGGAGAGATGGCTTAGCAGTTAAGAGCATGTAGAAGACCTGGGTTTGAATCCCAGCACCCACATGGCAGCTAGCAACTGCCCATACTTCCAGTTCCAAGGGATCCAACAGTTTCTTCTGTCTGCTGCAGGCAGGCATTGCATGACAGGGGTGCACTTACTTACATGCAGGCAATACATTAATACACGTAAAATAAAAATAGTAAATAAAATACTTAAAAAAACTCTGTGAACTAGAGAAATGATTCAGTGGTTAAGCATACTTGCTTCTCTTACAGAAAGCCCAGGTTTGGTTCCCTGCACCCATTTGGTAGCTCACAACCATCTCTAACTCCAGTTTCAAGGGATCTGACACCTTCTGCCCTCTGTGGGCATTATACATGCAGGCAGAACATTCATACACATAGCAAATAAAATGGGCTGATTGCCAGGCGGTTAAGAGCACTGAATGCTCTTGCAGAGGACCAGAGTTCAATTCCCAGCACCCACATGGTTGCTAATAACCATCTCTAACTCCAGTTCCAGTGCTGCCTTCTGACCTTTACAGGCATTGCATAACATGTGTAGGCAAAACACTTCATACAAATAAAATTGAGATAAATACATAAAAATAAATAAAGCCAGGCATGGTAGTGCACACCTTTAATCCCAGCACTTGGGAGGCAGAGGCAGGTGGATCTCTGTGAGTTCAAGGCTAGCCTGGTCTACATAGTGAGTTCCAGGACAGCTGGGACTACAGGGAGACCCTGTCTCAATAAAACCAAAAAAAGAACAAAGTAAGTCGGGCGTGGTGGCGCACGCCTGTAGTCCCAGCACTTGGGAGGCAGAGGCAGGTGGATCTCTGTGAGTTTAAGGCCAGCCTGTTCTACATAGTTCCAGGACAGCTGGGGCTACGGGAGACCCTGCTTCAAAAAGACAAAAAAATAAATAGGTAAAATTAAATAAATAAAATATAAACATATATATAAAAACACTTGTGTCCTAGTTTGCTGTCCGTTGCTGTAATAAAACATTCTAACTAAAAGTAGCTTGGGGAGGAAAGGGTTTATTTGGCTAACAGGTCTCAATCATAGTTTGTCTTTGAGGGAAGCCAGGACAGGAACTCAAGGCAGAAACCTGGAGACAGGAACTGAAGCATGGAGTGTGGAAGACTGCTGCTGCTTACTGACTTGCTCTTCTGGCTTGTTCTTGGCATGCTTTCTTTCCTTTTTTTTTTTTTTTTTTTTTTTTTTTTTTTTTGGTCTTTTTGAGACAGGTGTTGGGATTAAAGGTGTGCACTACCAGGCACGGCTGGCGTGCTTTCTTATATAACCCAGGACTACCTGCCCATAGGTGGCACCACCCATAATGGGATGGGCCTTCCCATATCACTCAATAATCAAGAAAATACCTCACAGACATGGCCACAGGCCAATCTCAACAGAGTTGAAGTTCTCTCTTTCCAAGTGTGTGAAGTTGACAGCTGAAGCCTTCCAGCACAACTTGGAAGTATATTATAGACTAACTGTCTCATTAGTTTGGGTGACATAAAGTTGTGTTGTAGTGTCCTCTGGAAGTCTTCACTTGCCTTAAAAATAATTTTTTGTATATATAGAGTGTCTACTGCTGTACTCAGTTTGATTATAAACTTTGAATGATGCTATGTCTTATTACAGATACCTATAAAAATTTCTTCTTAATGACTTGTGGATGTTTGGAGGATATTTCTAGAAAATGCATAATGGTAAAGAAACTCAGCTTTCTGGAATCCCAATACTTGAAGCTTACAACCATCATCCCAAGAGGGACTAAGTATTTGTTAGGAGTGCATATCCTTTATGCAGAAGAACTGTAACCAGGAGCAAATAAACACATGCCTCAAAAAATGAATATACTATATTTAAAGTTTTTCTTGTCCTTTAGGGAGTAACTGGCTTCTTAGTCTATGTGAGTTAGATTATATCTAACCGAACATCTGATAGTATATGGTAAATGGTGCCACACATTTCTCCATATTTAAAGGAAAATTCCAGGAGTAGATTGTTGTGTCTTGGTAAATCTCCAACTTTTAAGGTTAAACAGACATACCAGCAGACAATTTCTTACACAGTTTTTAGGAACTGAAGATCACAGCTCTGAAATTTTCCAAGTAATGTTCTTTTTTTTTTTTTTTGGTCTTTTTGAGACAGGGTCTCCTTGTAGCCCCAGCTGTCGGGGAACTCATTATTTAGACCAGGCTGGCCTCAAACTCACAGAGATCCACCTGCCTCTGCCTCCCGAGTGCTGGGATTAAAGGCATGCGCCACCACGCCCAGCAGTAATATTCTTTTTAAAGAAGAATTGGAGCTGTGTATGGTGGTATATGCCTTTAATCCCAGCACTCAGGAGGCAGAGGCAGGCAGATCTCTATGAGTTCAAGGCCAGCCTGTTCTATGTAGTGAGCTCCAGGCTAGCTGGGGTTACAGAGAGACCCTGTCTCAAAAATACACACACAAAAGAAAACTTGGAGCCAGGCATAGTGGGAGGCAGAGACAGGTAGATCTCTGTGAGCTCAAGGCCATCCTGGTCTACATATCAAGCTAGCTGAGGCTACAAGGAGACCCTGTCTCAAAAAGATCAGAAATGTCAAAATGATGGTCAAGTATTGGGGGTGGGGGATTCTTGGTAGATAAAGCATTTGTTGTGCCAAGTGTGAAGGCCTGAGTTCAGATACGCAGAAAGCTGGGTAGGCATGGCAGCTGGCCTACAAGCCCACCATTGGGGAAGCATAGAAACAAATCTCCAGAGCAAGTTGGCTAGCCAGACTAGCCATAACTGATACTGTAATGTTTTGATCTTTTAGTTAAAAATTTATTTTCTTTTATCTGTATGAGTGTTTTGTCTACGTATATTTAAGTGCACTGGTGTAGGGCAGTATCCACAGAAGGCAGAAGAGGTGGTGGATCCCCTGGAACATGAGTTGCAGATGCTTGTTAGCTGCCATGTGGGTGCTGGAACCAAACCTAAGTCCTCTATAAGAGCAGCCAGTGCTCTTAACCCCCCAGCCATCTCCAGCCCCTCATTTTGTTTCGTTTTATTTTTGTGTATGAGTGTTTTGCCTGCGTGTATGTAAGTGTACCTGTGTCATGCAGTGCCCACAGAGGACAGAAGAGGGCATCAGATCCCCTGGAACTGGATTTTTGGATGGCTATTAGCCATCATATGAGTGCTGGGAACCAAACCCAGGTCCTTTGCTTGAGCAGCCAGTGCTCTTAACTGTTGAGTCATCTCTCCAGTCTCTTGGTTTTTTTTTTGTTTTTTGTTTTTTTTTTGTTTTTTGAGACAGAGTTCCTTGTAGTCCCTGCTGGCCTGCAGCTCGCTATGAAGACCAGACTGGACTTGATCTCACAGAGATCTGTGTGCCTCTTCCTCTTGAGTACTGGGACTAAAGGTGCATGACCACATCCAGCTCTGAGTTTGATTTTTTTTATATTACTTTAATGAGTCAGTACTGATGGGTCAAAGTTTTTGAGTGTTAGATAAGCCAAATTCTAGGCACTAGTCTAATTGTCAGAAACCAAGTGTTACTTATTATGTGTCATTTCCTTTTTGGGGAAATTCATTTGCTCCTTCTTAACTAGCTATGTTAAACATTCCAAGAAGATGGGCATGGCAGCTCATGCCTGTAATCCCAGCACATGGAAGACTAAGGCAGAAGGATTGCCATGAGTTAAGGCTAACCGGGATACATAGTTTCAGACCAGCCTGAACCACTAAATAAGATCTGTTTCATAAACAAATAGCTGAATGTGGTGGTGCATGCCTGTCACCCCTGCATTTCCGAGGTTAAGATAGGAGGATTAGCAGTTTAAGATACCCTCTGCTACATAATGAGTTTGAGGCCAGCCTGGGTACATTAGACCCTGTCTCAGCAAACAAAACAGGTACTGGAGGGATGACTTAGCAGTTAGCAGCTCTTGCTGGTCTTTCAGAGGTCCAGAGTTGGTTCCTAGCCTCTAATACACACTTAAAAATAAATCTTTTTTTTTTTTTTTTTTAAAAAAGGAAAATAGGCTGGGTGTGGTGGCGCACATCTTTGGTCCCAGCACTCAGGAGGCAGAGGCAGGTGGATCTCTTGAGTTCGATGCCAGCCTAGTCTACATAGCGAGTTCTAGGCTAGCTGGGGCTGCAGGGAGACCCTATCTCAAAAAGAAAAAATAAAAACAGGCTGGGCGTGGTGGCACATGTCTTTAATCCCAGCACTCAAGAGGCAGAAGCAGTTGAATCTCCTGAGTTCAAGGCTAGCCTGGTCTACATAGTGAGTTCCAGGCAAGCTGGGGCTATAGGGAGACACTGTCTCAAAAAGACCAAAAAAAAAAAGGAAAACATTTCCATACTTTTTTATACCCTAATGTTGAATTTGAAATATATCAGCTTGGGGGCTGGAGAGATGGCTCAGCGGTTAAGAACACTGACTGCTCTTGCAGAGGACCCGGGTTCAATTCCCAGCACCACATGGCAACTGCGAACCATCCTTAACTCCAGTTCCAGGGGAATCCAAAACGCTCTTCTGACCTCCGCAGCATTGCATGACATGGGTGCACTCACATGCATGCAGGCAAAGACATATACACAAATATACATAAAATAAAAATAAAATATTTTTTAAAATATGTCAGCTTAAGCACTTTTTGGGGTACTTTATCTTCATTTTAAGAGCAAGAAAATTCTGGAACATTTCTCAAGTCAATGTTACTCTCTTTTCCAGAGGCATTATCTTTGGTCTAGTTATTAAGAATTATTGAGAGAGTAACATGACTTCCTTTTTAGGGATGGGAGGACCTAGGAAAGGCAAGAATAGTAGTAATTTATTTGTTTTGAGGTGGGATAGGTCTTTTTTTGCACAGGGTTATGGGTAGTTTATTTTTTCAGTAGAATAGTAGTTGGTAAAAAAAATAAGTTTGTTCATGGTAAGATACTTTCTTTGAAAATATGCTTGCCTTACTATCATTTGGTTTTGTATATGCAGATAAACATGATACTGGCAAACCTGTACAAGAAGGCTGGTCAGGAGCGCCCCTCAGTCACCAGCTATAAGGAGGTCCTGCGGCAATGCCCATTGGCCCTTGATGCTATTCTAGGTATAGAACACTTTCTTCCTGTTTCTTGGAGTGTTTGCTAAGATAGTAGTTCTCAGTTATGGGTATGCATTAGACTAGGTGGTACCTAGAATTCACAGTAATCTTGGCTGTGCTTTGTTGTTTTGATTTGATTATGGGTAAGTGTACATGGGTGGGCCTGGAGTTATAGGTAGTTGTTGATTCTGGAAACCAAACTTGGGTCTTGTCTAAGAGCAGTACACACACTTAACTACAGTATACATTATTAACTACTGAACCATCTCTCTAGTCCCTAGTAAAGGTTTAGAAAAAAATTCCCTGCATTATCATTTATTCAAAATGTAGAAATATTTTGGGTTGCAGTATAGCTCAGTGATAGAACACAAGCTTAGCATGCTTGAGGCTCTGGTTTCAGTTACTGGCACGAAAGAAAGGGAGGGAGAAAATTTTTCTGTCATATTGAAGGAGGGAGAGAGGAAAAGAGGGAGGGTCATAAGCAACCTGCTTAGACTAGGGAGAGGTAACTGCAGCTTATTTCTTGCACTATGAGAAGGGACACTGTCTCACCTTTCTCTTGTTTTCTGTTGGGTTAGGTTTGTTATCCCTTTCTGTCAAGGGTGCAGAGGTGGCATCAATGACAATGAATGTGATCCAGACTGTGCCCAACCTGGACTGGCTCTCTGTGTGGATCAAAGCATATGCTTTTGTACACTCTGGTGACAACTCAAGAGCAATCAATACCATCTGGTGAGAGCCACAATGTTAATTCGGTGATTGTTTGGGGTAGAGGGTGAGATTTGAGATAAGATCTTTTTAAAAATATTTTTATTATTTTTATTTTATGTGTATGCATGTATTGCCTGTATGTAGATAAGTGCACCTGTGTTGTGCGATGCCTGCAGAGAGACTGTCAGATCCCCTGGAACTGGAGTTATGGACATTTGTAAGCTGCCGTGTGGGTGCTGGGATTTGAACCCGGGTCTTCTGCAAGAAGTCAGTGTTCTTAACCGCTGAGCCATCTCTCCAGCCCCTGGGCTGTTAGTTTTTTTTTTTAATTTTTATTTTATGTGTATATCGCCTGCTTGTAGGTAAGTGCACCGGTGTCATGCAGTGCCCGCGGAGGTTGGAAGAGGCTGATCCCCTGGGACTGGAGTTATGGACAGTTATTAGCTGCCATGTGGGTGCTTGGATTCGAACCTGGGTCTTCTGCAAGAACAACCAGTGTTCTTAACCGCCAAGCCATCTCTCCAGCCCCAAGCTGTTAGTTTTTTAATGGACTAAATGATTGCAAATGTGATGAACTGTTGGAACCTGTAAAAATGTATGGCTATACTGAGTTCTACTTTGTACATGTAAATAAAGGTGGTCATCCTTAAAGGGCAGACTGCTGTTGTATGTCATATTCACACCTGAAAAAAAATCTCTTTGGTTTTGTCAGAAGTGTTGTTTACTTAGCACCTGATAATAGGATGCCTCCTTGCAACTAGAGTTTTCAAAACCATGTGTTGTTGGGCTCTTAAAAACCATAACTGGCCGGGCATGGTGGCGCACGCCTTTAGTCCCAGCACTTGGGAGGCAGAGGCAGGTGGATCTCTGTGAGTTCAAGGCCAGCCTGGTCTACATAGTGAGTTCCAGGACAGCTGGGGCTACAGGGAGACCCTGTCTCAAAAAGACCCAAAAAAAAAAAAAAAAAAAAAAAAAACCATAACTGACTGGGCGTGGTGGCGCATGCCTTTAATCCCAGCACTTGGGAGGCAGAGGCAGGCGGATCTTTGTGACTTCGAGGCTAGCCTGGTCTACGTAGTGAGTTCCAGGACAGCTGTGGGGCTACAAGGAGACCCTGTCTCAAAAAGACAAAACAAAACAAAAAAAAACACCCATACCTGACTAAAGAAAAAGACCAAACAAACAAACAAGAAAACAACCCATAACCAGTTGAGCTTGGTGGCACACACCTTTTATCCTAGCACTCTAAAGGCAGTGGAAGGTAAATCTCAGTGAATTGAAGGCCAGCCTGGTCTACATAGTGAGTTCCAAGCCAGTTAGCACTGCAGAGTGAGACCCTGCCTAAAAGAAACATAACCAGAAAATTCTTTCTAAATAGTTATATCTGCTTTAGTCTACATATTTAAAGAGCATACGCTCAGGTAAGAAAATTCAGTCTTCATAGTTAATTTTGTTTGTTTGTTTGTTTGTTTATTTATTTATTTATTATGTATATGAGTGTATTGCCTGCATGTAGGTAGGGGCACCTGGGTTGTGCAGTGCCCATGGAGGTCAAAAGAGGGAGTTGAATTCCCTGGAATTAGAGTTTTGGACAGTTGATAGCTGCCATGTCTATGCTGGAAATCGAACCTGGGTCTTCTGCAAAAGCAACCAGTGTTCCCAACCACTGAGCCAACTCTCCAACCCATCTGAAGTTAATTAAAACAAAATTGGGGGGCGGGGGCTTTTGGAGACATGATCTCCCTGCAGCCCCAGCTGGCCTGGAACTCATTATGTAGACCAGACTGGCCTTGAACCCACAGAGATTTGCCTACTTCTGCCTCCCAAATGCTGGGATTAAAGGTGTGTACCACCATGTCTGGCCCCCTTAAAAAATTTTTTTTTAAATTGGAGCTGGTGAGGTTGCTTAGTGTTAAGAGCACTGACTGCTCTTGCAGAGGACCTAGGTTCAATTCTGAGCACCCACATGGCACCTAACAACTGTCTGTAACTCCAGTTCCAGGGGATCCGACACCCTTTTCTGACCACAGGCATTGTACAGCATGGGTGCACTTACATATGTGCAAGGCCATACACTTATACACATAAAATAAAAATAATGTGTGGTGGTGCATGCCTTTAATCCCAGCCCTTGGAAGGCAGAGGCTGGTGGATCTCTTGTGAGATTGAGGCCAGCCTGGTCTACATAGTGAATTCCAGGTGGGCTGGAACTAGGGAGACCCTGTCAAGAAATAAAATAATAAAATGTTTAAAAATTTTTTATATTTTTTTTGTGTGTAGGTGTAGATGTAAGTTTATTATTGTTGTTGTTGTTATTATAGCTGGGAGTGGTCAAACCCGTGTATAAATCCCTGGACTTGGGAGGATGAGACCAGGAGGATCATAAGTTCAAGGCCAGCCTGGTTACACAGCAAGACCTTGTCTCAAAAAAAAAAAACCAAAAAAAACTTAAAGTACAACAACAAAAAACTGTTTTTTTGTGGGGGGACATATATTTTTATTTTAGTTTTTTATTTTATGTGTATGAGTGTATTGCCTGCATGTATGTGAGTGCACCTGTGTTGTGCAGTGCCGCGGAGATCAGAAGAGGGCTTTGGATTCCCCTGGAACTGGAGTTAAGGATGGTTCGTAGCTGCCATGTGGGTGTTGGGAATCGAACCCCGGTCCTCTACAAGAGCAGTCAGTGCTCTTAACCACTGAGCCATTTCTACAGCCTGGGGGGAAATTTTTTATACATACAGAAAAACATATCTATACGCTCATCCAGATTTAAGGATTTAAAACAAATGTAAAATAAATTGTAAGGTTAAAAATATTTGACATCTTTTTTAAGTTCACTAGAGAAAAAGTCCTTATTGCGGGATAACGTGGACCTGCTTGGAAGCTTGGCAGATCTGTACTTCAGAGCTGGAGATAATAAAAACTCCGTCCTCAAGTTTGAACAGGCACAGATGTTGGATCCTTATCTGATAAAAGGTGAGTCCTCCTCAGGTCAGTAGACATGTGGCCATACAGGGGCAGTTAAGAGAAGACAGGTAGAAATTGGGGCATTAACTCCTGGTACTGTTTTCTTCTTTTGGAGTTTTCTTTTGTTGTTTTGTTTTTTTGATACAGCATCTCATGGAGCCCAGGCTACCCTTGAGCTTGCTGTGTAAACTGGCTTTGAATGTTTGCCTCTACCTCCACCTCTGCTGCCATGGTGCCCAGCTCTGATACTGTTTTTCAAGGAAGATTTTGTAAGACTTACTTAAGTAATCTCTTTTTTTTCTTTTTTCCCTGTCTTGACACGTCTCTAACACTTAGGTAATTCCATTTTGAGTGGTGATTTTGCTTGGATTCAAGTGTTATCTCCTTACAGACCATTACTTAACTTTTTTTCTTTTGAGGGACATAATGGCACCTTCTTACAAATTATATGTTTATGATGTGGCTGACTGATGGCATATGCAGAATCATAACATCCTTTTAAGGACTTTAGTTTTACCCTGTCCTTCGTACATTTTGAAGGAGTAGGGGAGCAGGTACTAAAAAAGAAGTAAGGTGGTTAAGGCATTATGGCAAACAAGCCAGGCGTGGTGGCACACACCTTTAGTCCCAGCACTTGGGAGGCAGACTCAGGAACTCTGAGTTCTAGGCCAGGTGGGGCTACAGGGAGACCCTGTTTCAAAAAGACCAAAAAAAAAAAAAACCCAAAAAAACACAAAAGCATTGTGACAAACAACAGAAAAACCAGCAGCTTGCAGTTGAAGGAATAAGGCACAGTTAATTCCAGGGGCTGGCTGTTGGGTGCCCAGTGATGAGTAGAGACTGCCCAGGAACACTGGGAAATAAGATTAGATGAAGAGGCTGATATTACCAGTAAACACCCAAAGAAAGCCATCAGAAAAATGTGCCTTGGGATAATAAGCAGTCTTCAAAATCCTTAAGAGAATGACTAAGCTGAATGTAGTAGGAAACAACTGTAATTCCAACACTCGGGAGACTGAGGCAGATAGACCATGAGTTCAAGGCCAGCTTGAGTTACATAGTAAGACCCTGTCTCAGACAAACTAAGATGACTTAGTATGAAGGTGATCTCCTAAGTTTTCAAATGAGGGAACAGATCTAGAAAGATGAATTTGTACAAGATCTCCCACCTGCCTAGTGTTTGTTCATCTTCTCCAAGCTGTCCATGTCCACGGTTATAGGCAGGCATGGTGGTGCACTTGGGAGGTAGAGGTAGGAGGATCGAGAGTTCAAGGTTACATGCAATTCTTGTCTCAAGCCCACCTCCCACACCAAAGAAAGAAAATACAATGTTTAGAAATAATTAGAAATAGTCTAGTGTCAATTTGTAGCTTGGAATTGAAAGTTTATGCTAAGGTCAGGAGGAGAATGGCTGTAATCTTGCCTTGAGAGGAATGGGAATCTGAAGGGATGGTGAGGAGTGTGGTAGCAAGAAGTGGTGCTAGCCAGCATGGGACCCTTTTTTATAATGTGAGGGAAGAGGGTTTGGGAATGTGAAGAGGTAGTGTTCCCTAATGAACTACATTCTAGAATGCAAGCTTTTTTTTTTTTGAATAGGCCAACTTTTTCTGAAATTGGGCTTTTTCAGCATGGTAAATAAGCATGTACTAACTGCTGAGAGGTTTTGGGAGACAGCACTTTCTGATTCATTTTTTAAGCCTTTTCTGGTAATGAGTTATGATAGCTGTTTACCACTCTACAATTTAGAGACAAACAGTTCTTGAAAAGGACAGACTTTCAAGTTGTGAGGGTAGGACCTGCTGTTTCTTTGCCCTTTTTTTTTTTAATGTGTATGTGAAGGCCAGAAAAGGGCATCAAATCCCCTCAAACTGGAATTACAGGTGGTTATGAGCCTTCCACTGTGGATACTGGGAACCAAATGCAGGTCCTCTGCAAAAGCAGCTGCTCTTAACCACGAGCCACCTCTCCAGCCCACCTTCCTCTTTTTTTTTGGATGGGATTGCTGTTCATTCATTCATTCATTCATTCATTCATTCAGATACAGGGTCTTTATCAGACTTTTAGCTAAGATTACATGTACAGACAGGGTCTTATGTAGCCCAATCTGGGCTTAGACTTGCTATATAGCTGAGGTTGACCTTGAACTTCTGGTTTTCCTGTTTCCAATTCCAAATGCTAGGAGTACAAGCTTGTATACCCTCCCCCTACTGGTGTTTATGTGGTGGTAGGGATTGAACCTAGGGCTTCATGCATGCTAGGCAGGCATTTCTACCAACTGAGCTACATCTCCAGACATTTATTTATTTATTTTAATTAATTAATTTTATGTGTATAAGTGCCTGCACGTATATAAGTACATCACATTTGTGCAGTGCTTACAGAGGCTAGAAGAGGGTGTCAGATCCCCTGGAATAGGAGTTATGGACAGTTGTTAGCTGCTCTGTAGTTCCTGGGAATCAAACCTGGGTCCTCTGCAAGAGCTGCCAGTTTTCTTATCCTTGGAGCCATCTCTCCAGCTCCTATTTATCTATTTTTATTTTTTGGTCTGTATGAGACCAGGGTCTCCCTGTAGCCCCAGCTGGCCTGGAACTCACTATGTAGATCAGCCTGGCCTTGATCTCAGAGATATGCCTGCCTCTGCCTCCTAAGTACTGAGAATTAAAGGTGTGTGCATGCCTGGTTCTATTTATTTTGATTTATTTTAATTAAATTTTCATATGTGTATACACAGGTGGGTCAGAGGATAATTTTCAGAAGAGGGTTTTCTCCATGTCTGGGAGATTAAGCTTAGGTTCATTAGGCTGGTGGCAAGTACCTTTACTCACAGAGCCATCTCACTGGCCCTCATTTTTGGAGGACCTCTACTGCTTTGGTCAAAGAGCCTCTTCTTACCTTTCTTTTAGGAATGGATGTATATGGCTACCTCCTGGCACGAGAAGGGCGGCTGGAGGACGTGGAGAACCTTGGCTGTCGCCTTTTCAACATTTCTGATCAGCATGCAGAGCCCTGGGTTGTCTCTGGGTATGCTTGTTCATTCTTTCTCTCCAGTGTTCAGTATTTTTGTTTGTTTTGCTTTTTGAGATAGGGGCTCTCCCTGTAGTCCTACCTGGCCTGGAATTCGCTATATAGACCAGGCTGGCCTTAATCTCACAGAGATCTGTCTGCCCATGCCTCTCCAGTGCTGGGATCAAAGGTGTGCCCCAGCATGCCCAGCTAGTGCGTTTTGTTTTGTTTTTAAGAAATTATGGGGGTCTGGAGAGATGGCTCAGTGGTTAAGAGCACTGATTGCTCTTGCAGAAGACTTGGGTCCGATTCCCAGCGCCCACATGGCAGCTTCGAACCGTCCTTAACTCTAGTTCCAGGGGAATCCAAAGCCCTCCGCAGCATTGCATGACACAGGTACACTCACATATCCAGGCAATACACTCATACACATAAAATTTTAAAATGAAAAAAAAAAAAAGAAATTATGGTTTCTCTTTAAGAGAATATAAGTTGAAAGCATAAGGTTTGAGAGGTAACAGACCTGATCAAATTAGTGCATGCCCATGATTTTGGGTTTACATTCACCTGAGGCTGTTTTCTCATTTGGAGAATGGGCTGATGATCCCTACTTCTAGGGGTAAGCGCTGAGATAATGCATTGTGTTTAGGACTGGGCTGTGCAAATTATTTTTCTGGGAATGCCTTCTCTCTTACCTAAGCTTTGTGACCAAAGCTACTCTTAAATTTTGAGATAATTTACCACTGTCTGATCTGCCTTCCAACTGTGTAATCAGCTCATTTAAATTTAGTTAGCCTTGGGTGGTTAAGAGCACTAACTGCTCTTGCAGAGGACCCAGGTTCAATTCCCAGCACCCTTATGGCGGCTATGAACTGTCCTTAACTCCAGTTCCAGGGGAATCCGAAGCCCTCTTCTGACTTCCTCAGCATTGCACCACACTGGTGCACTCACATACATGCAGTCAATAACACTCGAACACATAAAATAAACTATTAAAAAAAATGTAGCTAGCCTTTAGAAAAGCAGTGTAAACAATCTTACTAGACTTGGGCTTTTCTCGTAATCAACTTCTATAAGCTAAGCTAAACAAGTAGCTTAAAAAAAATTATTTGTGTGTGTGTGTGCTTGCATGAGTTTGTGTGCAACATGTACATGCATGATCCCACAGAGGCCAGAAGGGGCCATTGGATCCTCTAGAACTTGAGTTGTAAATGGTTATGAGCTGCTATGTGGGTGCTGGGAACTGAACCCAAGGTCTTCTGCAAGAGCAGTAATTGCTGCTCTTAATTGCTGAGCCATCTCTCCACCCCTAAACACATAGTTTTAATCATAAACTATGTTTCCTTTTTTCTCCTTCATGACCTACCTTATCCCTGATCCAAAATCCTGTGTGTCTGTGTGTCTGTTTTGTGAAAATATCATTGCTGATGGCAATGACCTTAGAAGCAACAAATTATCCACAGAATAGGTTCCAAAAAAACCATGTGGGCTTCAGTTGTTATCTGTTTGTGGTTTTGAATACTGTTCTGGGTCAGAAAAGAAAATCTCTTCCCGGATAAGACAAAGTTCCTCATTCCTTTTCCATATCATGCTAGCTGTACTGTTGAAATAAATCAATAAATAAATAAATAAATAAATAAATAAATAAATAAATAAATAAATAAGATCTTGATGGAGCCAAGAGAAATCAGATGGAACAGTTCTGAAAGCAAATTGAGTTCATGCTTTGCTTAACAACTACAGGAATTTAGTCTTTCTTGAATCAGGCATCTCTAAATTGTGACATTTGCCACACTGGCCCTCATTCACCCTAAGCCCTCACCACCAGCCCTGCACAAACAGAAAATAAAATCGATACTAATGACCTGGCTTATAAATAAATTTCTCCAAATGTCTCTCAGATTGAAGTTTATATTCCAAATTATCAGGATCTTTCTCTTGCATGACATATCTTTTTTCTTTTTAAAATTTTCTTTTCCTTCTTTTTTTTTGAGACAGGGTGTCATGTAATCCAGGCTGGCTTTGAATTTACTGTGTAGCTGAGGCTGGCCTTGAACTTTTTAGTCCCACCCTACTTCCCCAAAGCTGGATTATAGGTGTTCTTGACCATGCCTGATAAGATTTCCCCCCTTTAGGATTTAAAAGTTAATGTATATATTTATTATTGTTATGTTTGTTTTGCTTTTTCATGCATGGTTTATAACAGGCATTATGCATTGTGTTGTCTGTGATTTGTGGATAAAGCTTTTTTAAAAAATTGTTTTACAAAGCTGGGTGTGGTCTCACACGCCTTTAGTCCCAGCATTCAGGAGGCAGAGACAGACGGATCTCTGTGAATTCAAGGCCAGCCTGGTCTGCATAGTAAGTTCCAGGACAGCTGGGGCTGCAGGGAGACCCTGTCTCAAAAAAAGACCAAAAAAACCCATTTGTTTTACATTTTGTGTGTGTGTGTGTCTTATCAGTGTCACATCTACCACAGTATATGGAGGTCAGAGGATAACTAGTGGGAGTCTGTTCTCTCTTTCCACCATGTAGTCCTAGGAATTGAACTCACTAAGTTTGGTGGCAAGTGCCTTTACCCTCTGAGCCATCTCACTGGCCCTTTTTTTAAAGACAATCTCTCTATGAAGCCTGGGCAAGTCTTCAATTCTCTATCCCCCTGCCTTCCGCCTCTCAAGTGCTAGGATTATAGGAATTTGCCACCTAGCTGGCCTTAAGGCTTCTTTATAGGCTTCTCTCAGATAACTTCTGGTATTTCTTTTTTCTTTAGGTGCCATAGTTTCTATAGCAAACGCTACTCTCGGGCCCTGTACTTAGGAGCCAAGGCCATTCAGCTGAACAGTAATAGTGTTCAAGCTTTATTGCTTAAAGGAGCAGCACTCAGGAATATGGGCAGAGTCCAAGAAGCAATAATTCATTTTCGGGAGGCTATAAGGCTTGCACCTTGCCGCTTAGACTGTTATGAAGGTAAGATAGCAATTACCAGTATAGGCATGAGAGCTATATTCAGGTGGAAGGTTTTGTTAGGCTAGCACTTCTAAGCCCTGTTGTAGATTCAAATTATCTGTGGGGGCTTTAAAGACCAGACTGTAAGGTCACTTCAGCATAGATTGCTTGGTTAATGTATGTAATTGATTATGAGGGGTTGGTTTGTCTGGTTTTTTAAAAATAATTTTATTTTTTGTTTATGAGTGTATTGCCTACATGTAAGTGCACCCATGTTGTGAAATGCCCACAAAGGTCAGAAGAAGGCACTGGATCCCCTGGAATTGGAGTTAAGGACGGTTGTTAGCCACCATGTGGGTGCTGGGAATTGAACCCAGGTCCTCTGCAAGAGCAGCCAGTGCTCTTAACCACTGAGCCATCAGTCCAGCCCCTGGTTTGTCTGTTTTTTGTTTGTTTTAAAATGGGGTTTCCCTCTAGCCCAGACTATAGCCCAGTAGAGCTGTGCCTCCAAGTTCAGCAATGTTTGGTGACTCAGTCACAGATACCAAAATAGCTTTTTTTTTTTGGTCTTTTCGAGACAGGGTCTCCCTATAGTCCTAGCTAGCCTGGAATTCACTATATAGACCAGGCTAGCCTTGAATTCATAGTGATCTGCCTGGGATTAAAGGCATGTGCCACCACACCAGGCTGTTATTTATTAACTTTTTTTGGTGGGGATGGGGTGGGGATTGCAACAGGCCCTAGTTGTTCTTGAACATATATTCTCAAGAATGACTTTGAACTCCTATTCCTCCTGCCTCCACCTTCCAAGTGCTGAGATTGTATTTGTACCACTACCACACTAGCCTTTGGACATTGACTTTCTTTTTTTTTGGTCTTTTTGAGACAGGGTCTCCCTGTAGTCACAGCTGGCTTGGATTTGCTATGGAGAACAGGCTGGCCTTGAACTCAGAGAAATCCACCTGCCTCTGCCTCCCAAATGCTGGTACTAAAGGCATGCTCGGCTTGGACATTCACTTTCTGTTAGGCCAAAGATGACAGAACCCAGCTGGAAAATGATGGCTTAAGAGGCAGTGAACCCATGGGCTTTGTTGGAGACATCACTGCTTTAGTGCCAGGGTTAACTATTATTGTTGCCATTCTTCAACTCTCAGGTGGGCTGCAGTTTCCTTAGCATGCCTCCTTCACCATCTTGTGGGTGCAGTTGTGGAAACATCTGTCAAGTACTCTGGGGAAGAACACATCTTAGCTTTTCCATCTGCATATTCTGCAGGCCAGTTTCACCAGCACAGTTCTCCCCCAGCCTCCCTTTTAATTGAAACTTTGAAGGCTTGCAGGTGGAGCACTGTCATGTCATGCTTTTGAGCTTCTTTACGTGTTTTTCTCCTCAGGTCTCATCGAATGTTACTTAGCCTCTAATAGTATTCGAGAAGCGATGGTAATGGCCAACAATGTTTACAAAACTCTAGGTGCAAATGCACAGACTCTTACCTTATTAGCCACCGTTTGTTTGGAAGACCCAGTGACGCAGGAGAAAGCCAAAACTTTGTTAGATAAAGCCCTGACCCAAAGGCCGGACTATGTTAAGGCTGTGGTGAAAAAAGCAGAACTACTCAGTAAGTGCATTGGATCTCTGCCCTGTTTTTGTTATAGTTTGTGATGCCTCATATTTGGTGGGTGCTCTGGTCCCAGCCGCTTACAAATGAGCAAGCAGGTCTGAGCCTGTGAGAAGTGATTTATATATAGCACAACCAGATGTGGCTTAGACCTGCTTAAATCAGCTCAAACTAGCTAAATAGGTTCATAGCTGTTCAGTTCATCTTTATCTGGTTGTTTTGAACTAATTTAAGCTGAATATAGCTAACTGATATTTTGTTTTTTTTAATTTTATTATTTTTTAAAAATTTCATTGTTTTTATGTGTATGCGTGTATTGCCTGCATGTAGGTAAGTGCACCCGTTTAGTGCAATGCCCGTGGAGGTCAGAAAAGGCTGTCAGATCCCCTGGGACTGGAGTTATGGACAGTTGTTAGCTGCCATGTGGGTGCTGGGATTCGAACCTGGGTCTTCTGCAAGAACAGCCAGTGTTCTTAACCGCTGAGCCATCTCTCCAGCCCCCAGCTAACTTTTTTAAACTGTTGTGGGCTATCTGGATTCTTTCTTAACCTTCTTTTTAAAAGCCTTGTTCTTTTTACTCATGATTTATATTATAAAGAGGTCTGTTTTGGCTTATGGTTCTAGCCCAGGTCAAGGAGCCACATGTGGTGATGGCCTTCTGGCTGGCATCCTCAGTCTCAAGGCAGCACAGGGCATCACATGGCTTAGGGACACTATTTGTTCTAATTTATGATAAACTGGATTTGGGATAGTTCAGGACATAAAATTTAATTTGACTTTTTGAGTTAAGGTTTAAGAATATATTTTAAAAATCAGGTGACCAACTAGATGGCTCAGCAGGCAAGGGCAAGCCTGACAACCTGAGTTGAGTCCCGAGGACCTACATGGTAGAAGGAGAAAACCAACCCTCACAAACTATCTTCTGACCTTGACACACACCACATAAATATAATAAAAATTTTAAAAACCAATCAGAATTCAGTCTCCTGATTTCCTAGTGAAATACAAATTTGCACACACTTGCTCCTTTGCCTTACACTGCCATGCTCTCGAGGATATCTGCAAAGAAGTTGTCATCTTGTGGTAATTGTGGTTTGTGTGTACTAGTTGAGCTGAGAATATAGTTTTAGAATGTTGTTGATCAGTGAGGATTGTCTTTCTCAACAGGCAGGGAACAGAAGTATGAAGATGGAATTGCTTTGCTGAGGAATGCTCTGGCCAATCAGAGTGACTGTGTCCTGCATCGGATTCTAGGAGATTTTCTGGTAGCTGTGAATGAGTACCAGGAAGCAATGGACCAGTATAGCATAGCACTAAGGTAGGCACTCAGCCTCCCTTGGGGAAGGTAAAGAGGGTAGAGGAGGCAGGGACTGGTGTGATGGAAGCTCTGAAAATGTATGCTGTACCCATAGTTGGAGGCAGAATAATAATTCATAACTTCTGACATAATTTCCCAAAGTGTACTAACAGCATTAAAGAACTGTTTCACTCATAATCAGCCCACATAAGTACAACATCCAAGTTCCTATGTACAGATCTTCCTGTCCTTGCCCCCACATACATTTTATAGGGTTATACCTAGTATATATTTTATATTCTGCATATTATATATATATGCAGAATATAAAATATATATGTATTCTGTTAGTATTGTTTTCCTGTGTTTCTATCCAGTGAAGTAATTAAGAATTTAAATTCTGAAGTGACTACAACTTCCACTCCTGTCATCCTGGTCAGAAAACTAACAAATTTCCTTGCCTGTGCCTACCTTATAGGGTAGGTATTAAGTGATTGAATTAGGGGTGGGGGGATGGCTCATCTGGTAATCGTATGTGCTCCATCAGCTTAGAGACCTAGGAATCCATCTAAAGGTGGAAGGAGAGGACCAATTCCACAAAATTCTCTTCTGACTTCCACATGCCTGTCATGGCATGCGCGTGCGCGCGCACACACACACACACACACACACACACTCCTCATCGGTAGACACTGCACAGTAATTTTTTTTTTTCTTTTGGTTTTTTTGAGACATAGTCTCCCTATAGCCCCAACTGGCCAGGAACTCGCTATGTAGACCAGCTGGCCTTGAACTCACAGAGATCCTCCTGTCTCTTCCTCCCCAGTGCTGGGACTAAAGGTGTGTACCACCATGCCCAGCTAGTAATAAGTTTTTCTAATTTTAAAAATAAATAAAATGGGGGGCTGGAGAATTGGCTCAGTGGTTAAGAGCACTTGTTACTGTTACAGAGGACCTGAGTTTGGGTACCAGCACCCACATTGGGTGACTCACAGACTCACACCTGTAACTCCAGCTCCAAGGGGTCCAGCATCTTCTCTTGTTGGACCTGCTTCTCAGGCAGCCCCACCCCTACCCGTGCATAGATATAGACACAAACAGACAGACACAGATACACTATTGAGTTTGTACTCAACAGTAAAAAATAAATATGAAAATAAAATAAATGAATGACTGAATGAGCATTAAGAGTATTCTTTGTAAAGCTCTTAGTACTGTGCCTGATGTGTAGTAAATACTAAATAACGGTATTTGTACTGCATAGTACAGATGTGATCTCTTTCAGGGTTGTTGGTGTGTATGTAGGATATGGCAAGGGGCTATCCTAATTGAGTCTCACACACATCCATTCATTTGTCTAGTAGTTAGCTGAGCAGCATCTTGGGGACACAGTACTTCTGAGTACAAGATGAGCCAGAGCATGAGAGCCCTGTGTAGGTGAGAGAGCCACATGGAAGGTTTGGGTGAAGAGAAGATATTACAAATTAATCTGCATCTGTGTAAATAGGAACAGGATCCCAGAAAAGGCTTTAACTACTTTTTGAAAGCCCAGAAGCAAGAGGTACTGGAGTTTCATTAGAGGTATTTGCTAGGGCCAAGATGCCTACTGACTGCCTGGGTGATAGTCATAAGGAGGATAGGTTGTTTAGGGGCTGGGGATGTCAATCAGTGGTAGAGTGCTTGCCTAGCATACACAAGGCTCTAGCTTCAATCTTCAGGTTTTTTTTTAACGTTGCTTAGGAGCCAGATAAGTTAGTGTTTTGGGGGGCGCTGAGCTTTGGAGGGCTGGCACATGTAACAACTCACTGCTACTAAATGGAAGTGCCTTGAGTCCTGGCTCCAACTTAGAAACTTAAAAATCTGTTCCACATGTAGCATGATGGTATTATTTAACTGAAATGCTGGTATGTGTAATTATAATAAGAACACAGAACAGTTTTACACATAGAACAGTAACTTTGGTGGGGAGTTAAACTTCATGACACAAACATTTTTTTTTTTAAGACAAGGTCTCAGTTTATAGCCCTGGCTGGTTACTATGTAGACCAGGCTGGCTTTGAACTCATAGAAATCTGCCTGCCTCTGCCTCCCAAGTGTTGGGGTTATAGGAATGTGTCACCAAACCCCACAAACATTTTTGTCTTTGTTTTTATTTTTTAATATTTTATTATTTTTATTTTATGCATGAGTGTATTGCCAGCATGTGTGTAAGTGCACCCAGGTCATGCAATGCCTAAGGAGATCAGAAGAGGGCATCAGATTTTCCCTGCAACTGGAGTTATGGACAGTTGTTAGTCACCATGTGGGTGCTGGGAATTCAATCCCGATACTCTGCAAGAACAGCCAGTGCTATTACTGCTGAGCCATCTCTCCAGCCCCTGCTTTTCCATTTGTGTCATCTGGTAGCCCCCTCTAACAGAATAGGAGGAGGATAGTTTGAAAAGTTTAAGAACTCCATGGAGAAAAACTCAAGAATTCTATAGCCAGGCGCGGTGGCGCATGCCTTTAATCCCAGCACTTGGGAGGCAGAGGCAGGTGGATCTCTGTGAGTTCCAGGACAGCCTGGTCTACATTGTGAGTTCCAGGACAGCTGGGGCTACAGGGAGACCCTGTCTCAAAAAGACGAAAAAAAAAAAACACAACAACAACAAAAAACTAAAGATTAGGAAAAGATCCCCCTTTGAAAAAATTTTTTTAGAACCTTTGATGGACTTCCTGGATCTAACCTTGGAGGCTGGAATTGTTTGGAGGTCTCTCTGACTCTAATGTTTGCACTGCTGGGCCATCTAGGTGACAGACCAGTCTGCAAGAAGCAAGACAGAGATTCAGGCCTCTCCTTTGTTTTGTGTCCCTCAGTTTGGACCCCAATGACCAGAAGTCTCTAGAGGGGATGCAGAAGATGGAGAAGGAGGAGAGTCCCACGGATGCTACACAGGAGGAGGATGTGGACGACATGGAAGGGAGTGGGGAAGAAGGGGATCTGGAGGGCAGCGACAGTGAGGCAGCCCAGTGGGCTGACCAAGAGCAGTGGTTTGGCATGCAGTGAGGGCACTGCTGCTAGTCCTCATGATTCCTGAACTGACAAAGATGCTTTCAGAGGATGGTGACTTTGGTGTGCTCACAGAAGGGCTCCCTGCCTCTCCTTGAGTTGTAGTCAGGACTTTACTTTAGTGCTGAGCCTGGCCAGCCTTGTGTCTGTCCTCCCTACTCTGTTGGAGAGGTCCAGGAGTATTCCAAGCTGCAGACTCAGGGGCTGTTGGAGAGGGCAGTTCTGATGTACCAAACAGAAAACGTGTTCTTCTTCACATGGATGGATTTGCAGGAATGACCCACTCTCCCAAGAATGCAACACAGGTGCCCCGGCACAGGTTTCCAGTTCCCAGAAGTTATGGTCCTGGACCTACCACATTCACCTAGTAGTGATGGGTTTCCTACAGTGCAGTCATGCTGTGTGGCGTTTTTCCCATTCACTGAGGTGGCAGCTGGCCTCAGCCCGAGCAGATTTGAAAAGCAAGTGATGGGAGAATGACTGTGCATGGGGCCACTTCAACTAATAAAATGCTTTTTCCAGTGAGGTGTGGGGTGTCAGAGTGGAAGGCCTTTTATAGACTCTTACTTTTGGTCTCTTAATCAGAAACATTGGTACAGCCCCAGAATCATTTGCCACAAATAGACTTCCTTTCTTCCCTAATGTTGGAAGCCAGAACCCTGAACAGTTCATCTGTTTGAGTTAGTAAATTGCCAGAGTTCAGGTGAGGCCAGCCTGGCTCTTCACTGAGGCTGGTGATCAGGCTTTGGCTTCAACATCTGTCCTGGGGCAGCCTGGAGTGCTAGTTGGCTCAGCTACTGGGGAGACCAGTCACACCCAATGTATACAGCCATCCTTTGTGCAAGTGTGATGCCTTTCAAGATCCAGACAAAGGTGCTAGAAAAGTCAGTGTGGACAGGAAGGTTTATTCTAAGTGAATACCTGAAGAACTCTGCATCATTGCACACTAAAGTGGTCAGGGCCTATGATCCCAGCAATGGAGGGGCAGGATGACCAAGAGTTCCAGGCTCACTGGGCTACACAGCAACATCCTGTCTCAGAAGATTTTAACAGTGGGGCTGGAGACATGGCTCAGCTCTGTTCATGTGGGTGCTCTGTTCCCAGCACCCACATGGCTAACAGTTGTAACTCCAGTTCCAGAGCATCTGATGTACTTTTCCTACCTCCATGGGCATTGCACACGTGTTGTGCATTTACATGTAGGCAAAACACTAATATGCATAAATTTTTTTAAAAGCTAAACAAGTTGGAGGCTGGAGAGATAGCTCAGCGGTTAAGAATACTGTTCTTGCAGAAGACCCGGGTTTGAATCCCAGCACCCACCTGGCAGCTAACAACTGTCTGTAATTTCAGTTCCAGGGGATCTAACAGTCTCTTCTGTCCTTCACAGGCATTGCATGACACAGGTGCACTTACCTACATGCAAGCAATATACGCATACACATAAAAATAATATGTTGGCCAGGTGTGGTGGTGCACACCTTTAATCCCAGCAGAGGTAGGCGGATCTCTGTGAATTCCAGGACAGCTGGGGCTACAGGGAGACCCTGTCTCAAAAAGACCCCCCAAAAAAGTAATGTGTGTGTGTGTGTGTGTGTGTGTGTAAGTAAAAAGATAAACAAGTAAAATGGATCAAATGACATTCCCGTGCCTTTCAGGGTGTGAGCCTGTGCAGCACCACTTGCCCTGCACCATTTCTGGGGTGGCCCACAGGCAGCTTGTGAGCATACGCCCCAGAGGAGGCACTGACAGCCTCACCAGACCCCCACTCCTCAGTCAGTGCTGAGGCAGAAGGCAAAACTCCTCTGTGGTCCCTGACCTGAGCCCAGCCCTCCCTCTCATTCCTGTCAGTCCAGGTTCCCATAGTGTCAGGAGGGATCCTAGCTCCCCAACCTCTGCATCTTCCTGTACCTCCCCTCTGTGGTGGTATGTCACTTCATTCTGCTGGAAACCTCTGGGTCAGTGAAGTCTGCCCCTCCATCCCAGCAACATCCAGCTGGACCTGTCAGATCCAGTCTCAGGCTGAGGTGGGAAGGGGTGCAATAGCCGCATGGTTGGAGTGTCTCAGGTGCAAAGAGACACTCAGGCCATATCAAAGGATATGGCTTTGCCACCATAAAACAGGGCACCCTCTGGCTGCCCACTTGAGATACTTGGAGACAAAGCAACCTGGGTAGGGATGACCCTTAAATACCCATGGTCCCCAGAGGGACCTTGTGACATCTGAGTTTCATAGTTGGGGTAGGGCATTTGAGCTGAGGTCTATTCCCACTTTCAGGGACCTGACTGGGTCTGTAAGCCTGGCTCCTAACTGGAGGGTGTGTACTTAGAGATACAGCTTGTTTCCTCAGCTGCCTGCTAGGCTGAGGATATAGTGAGCCAGAGGCACTGCTGGCCTGACACTCTGACACCCATCAGGGAGATAATAGCCACCAGACCTCCCACGGTAGCTGGTGGGGTCTGTAGCCCCACCATTCCCGTGGGCCTCATTTCCCACTGCTCTGCCCCTACTGGGCCCAGGGGACTGGCAGAGGACCCATGAAGACATACTCCTTCTTCTGATCCTTCCTAGGGAGCAGAAGGCCAGCTTCTGCCCTCATCTAGCCAGTCACATGCTTGGGCGTGTTTCCCAGTGCTATAGACTGCTGGGGCTGGGACTCTGGACTCCAGCATAGACACCTTAGCTTGCTGTGCCCAGCTTCTCAAAGGGGCCTTTAGGCTGCACTCTGCAGCCACCTGTGGGTGGGAGGAATGGGCCTCAACCAGCTTCTGTACCTCACCCGGGCAGGCCTGGGCTGGCCTGGGCTGGCAGCCTCTCACCACTTATACAAGCATGAGCTCACCACACTCACTGCAGGCTCTGCCGAGACTAGTTCTCAAGAGACACATTACCTGTTGACGACAGGCAGTGAGGCCAGACTGGACATACACCTCACTCGGCCTCCTGGGAAGCTGCTGAGGTAAGCATCTTGCTCAGGCTTTCCACATTCCTCAGGAACCCCATACCCCAGGGTAGTGGGTGGGGCCTCAGCTGCCACCTGGCTTCTAGGGAGGGCACAAAAGGCTTGCTTCTGCTGTTGGGCTCTCTCCAGCCCTGGGCCAGCAGCGGACCTGTCCTGGCCTCACCTGGGTTCTTAGTGGTCAGAGCCAGGTGTGAAGTTTTCCTGGATTGTTTTGGGAGATGTTAGTCATCAGTAGAGCTGAGTCATTTATTTTACAAAGTACAAGGTACCAACAACATCTGGAACAAGCCAGAACCGTACAGGTCGGCTTCCTTAAGAAGCCATCAGTAGACAGTTAATTTTAAATAAGAGTACTCATGTGCGTTGTTGGTGTGATGTAAAAGGTGTGGCCACTGGAAAAACAGTCTGGTGAATCCAAAGTTTAAACACTCACTGATCTGCCATCCCACCTCTGGGTATATACCCAAAGAAATGAAAGCAGGGCCTCAAACAGGGACTTGTGCACCTGTGCTCACAACCTGCTGAACAGTGGAAACCACTCAGGTGTCCAGTGGAGAACAGGTAAGAAGAATGTTGTCCAGCTCCACAATGGAGTATTATGCAACCACTGAAAGTAACAAACGCACGTTTCGCTAAATGGAAGAAACCTTCACTTAAAGGACAAATAGTAGTTGGGCTGTTCACATGAGACACCTGGAGTCATATGGGGAAGGAGCTTCAGTCGCTGAATGTTTAACAGAAGTTCTCTGGATGGTGTTGACTGCAGGACAATGGGAATGTACTTCATGCCAAATAACTGCCTTAAATTTTGTTTAAATTGGATGCTTTATCCCTAAAACTGTGAAGAGATGGTCTGTAATCCACCATCTGAATAAACGATTAACAGTCCGTGAAATGGGTAGCATGCACAATGCAAGAAATGAAAACCTGTCCCTCCCTAGGTCTCTCACTCAGGCTGTGCAGTTCCTCTAGACACATGGCCTTGGGCAGGATGCCTTTACGTTTGTTACGTGCTGCTTCAGAGCCCCGGTTAGTTACTGTGGCCCTCTACTGTTGCTGAATGCTTGTTTCTAGTCTGGTCTGGTCTTTTTGAAACCCTGTGTTGGGGTGCACACCTTCAATTCCAGCACTCAGAAGGCAGAGGCAGGTAGATCTCTGAGACTGGGTCTACAGGGAGACCCTATTGCAAATGAGGTCATCATGCAAATGAGGTCATCAGGAACGTTGGCAGTCACTCTCAGGTGACAGGCAGGAATCTTTGCAGACTCAACACAACCCAACCTGAAGGTCACTGGGTGTTTTGTGTCTGGCAATATATCGCATGCCATAATTTGCCTCTGTGGCTGTTTGTGGGGTTCGGGCTCTGAGATTGCAGAGGTGCTGTGGTCCCCTGAACAACTGGAGTGTCTGTTCTCTGACCCCTGGCTGTTGTCCTGGCGCTGATCCTGACCCTGTGGCCCCTAGACTCTGGCCTTGTCCCAGCAGTCCATGTCCTCAATCTTACTTCACCAGACTGCAGACAGTCTGGCCAGGCAGCGTCATCTCTAGCACTTAGATCTTCCCACCTCTGTCTTTATAAACAACCCTCTGGCAACTCCTCTTCTCTCCCAGCTTTTCCTTCTTTGGGTAAATTCCCAGCAAGGGTTTGCAGAGAGCAGACTGAACTATTGTGGAACTTTCCAGGAGGCTGGTAATTGGTCCTCTCTGTGAGAATCTAGGAACCCAGTTGTCCCTGTCCCTCGTGGCCTCTCTCAGCTGTCCCATCTCCCCCAGGTACCCATCCTTGGGCTTCAGGTTAGGCGTGAACCAAGAGACTGTCTGAAATACCCAATCCTCTCGAGTTGGGAGTGGGTAGTGACATTTTGAAGTCCCCTAGGTCTCCACCTCTGCTTTCTTAGGCCTAGGGGATTCTGGAGTACCTCCTTTTGCCCAGTTCTGACTTAAGGACTTGTTCAATGGGCTGAAGTCAGACCATCCTGCCTGAAGGTTGAGGGGTGATTGCTAGATATGATTTTGCATGTGAGACTGGGGAACTGACCATTATGGGTCTAGTCCCCTCCTTCCTTAGGCATCTCCCACCCCTACCCGTCTTAGCATCTCCGTGCCTGTGCATCCTCGATGCCTGTCCCTGGGAGTGTCACTGCAAGGTGTCAGCACACCCCTGGAGCCATAGGGCACAAAACTGGTCTTTCTTGGCTCAGCCTCCCCATGGATGTGACAGCCCTCGTTCCTCAGGACAGGTTCCATTGGTACTAGTTCAGATCTGCCTTATACTCCTCTTGGTGCTGGGCTGGGCCTATTCCTCCCAGGCCCAAGGCCTGGAAACTTTTTTTTTTTTTTTTTGTCTTTCTGAGACAGGGTCTCCTTGTAGCCCCAGCTGTCCTGGAACTCACTATGTAGAGCTGGCTGGCCTCAAGCTCACAAAGATCCGCCTGCCTCTGCCTCCCAAGTGCTGGGATTAAAGGCGTGCACCACCACGCCCGGCCTAGTTTTTTTTTTTTTTTTTAGAATTTAAGATTTATTTTTCATTTATGTGTGTGTGTATGTATATGCATGTGTACG